AAGAAAAAAAATCTACATTCTCACGTTCAGAAGCATCTGTCATGCCGTTCTAAGATATGATTGGACACTAAAAATAGCATTTAAGGGGTTCTAGCTTATGATAGAACTAACTTTGCATTGCATTATTTTCTTTAAAAAAAATATAATATAGAGGTCAATTATCTACCGAATTAGCAATAGCTTAGACATATACATGCTATTAAAATTACTGTGTGCATGCCCCCAAAAAAAATCTATGCATTTAAACATGAAGGGTCATTATTGAGATGTAAAAAAAAAATTTATCAAGCACACAATATATTCAGGTTGTCAAGGTAGCTTTAGATTTTGCATGAAGTGTGCTTGTTCCAAGAAAGGAAATAAAAAAAACAATGTGTAGAAATAATTTACAGTAGGACAATATTTGGCAAATCTTTGACAAAGTGAAAGGTGCAGCCAAAAAAATATTATAAAAAAATCGGTCATTGAAGATTCAACCATAGATTTGCAGCCATGAAAAGGAAAAAGATCCGGCCAGTGAAAATTTAAATGAATTAATATGGGTGACGTTTTTTTCTTTTTTCTCTTTTTTTTTTTGATGAAAAATATTGGTGATTACAGCAGCCCTCAAAAGCTGATCTTAAAAGAATACAGCAGCCCTCAAATCATCCATGAATACGGATCTAAAAAAAACGCAGCAGCCTTCTAATGGAATTTGATTTTAGAACAAAACAAGGCATAGTAGTACACACAAACACAAATCGGATTCTACAAGGTGAAATATTCATGTAGATTGTACCATGTTGAGTGTTAAAAGATTAAATCTGATAAATTTTGGAATACCTGGAATGGAGATCGAAATTTATGAAAGAGGAAGCTGTGTTTTTTTTTTCGATGATGGAGGAAGCCGCAAGAAGCTCTGTCCTTTTTCGATGATGGATTCTCCTTTGCTCCCCTTTTTTTCCATAGATTGAAGAAGCGGCGCAGATAAAAAATTAGGGTTGGACTATCGTGCTGATAACGTGTTGTGAACTCAGTACTTTATTCATCATATACGGGGGTATTTATACATACACGGGGAGAGGTATAGTCTAGGTCAATAAGGAAACAATATATTCTAAATAGAATGAGAAATATATCTGCCATATTTAACAAAAAACAGTTTTTTTGGGTCAATATTTATTATATATAAATAAATGCTAAAAATGCACTAATATTGACTTTTAAAATTATAATACGGAGTAATGTGTATTGAATGCAAATGATGATATTTGTAAATATGGCCTTAAAATTCAAAATATGAACCTAACATTCTATACTAACTGTCTATTAAGATTTTTTTAGGTATATTGGATTTTGAATAATTGTAGAAATATTTAAATTTACATTCATTTAGAATATAATATATCTAATAATCTTTAACAGACAATTATTTTGAACAAAGGAGGATTTGTGTTCGGAAATTGATGCCCTTTTTTATACTTTCCCCGTTCACAAATAAATTTCATGTTCATTATATTCATAGGATCAAATTTTATTCACTCTGTTGGCTTATTTTTTTCATCCATTTGATAAAATAATATAGTCATGTCACCTTTTGTTTTGTAGATCTTTTGCTATAGTTTTTTAATATTTATTATTATTTTTAAATTCTATACCATTTTTCATAAAAAAATATTTGAAAATAAATTCAGTCAAATATCATAACGCGCAACGAGAGATTTATTATTAATTTGTGGACGAAGGAGTATTTGTAAATAAAAAGCAGGGAACGGCAAAAGAAACACAACGATAATGTAACAAAATTTGTAGTGACAAAACTCTCCAAGTCTTTGTACACACTAAATAAAATAAAATAGCAAACACTAGAAATCAGCTAGCTACAGACAACTGGAGGGCTGGATGAGGCCGACGGCCATTCCGGCGGCGTAAGCACAGGACGCCCGAGCATTGCCGCCGCCACTCTCTTTGAAGCTCAGTTTTACGTCTTTCATTGTAATGCCTTTGCACGGCTTCACCTTGCTGCACTCGAACTTCACCGCCACCTCACTCGCCGACGTCCCCTTTATGTCTTCGTACGTCACGTCACTTATTCTCACCCCGGATGCCTATTTATCATTTTTTTAAAATTAACTAAGTTTCTATGGCCAAATAATCTCAGTGCCCTCCTATTTTAGAAAATTGACACTGATATCCTCTATTTGCAAAATTTATTTTTAAAGTTTCGTGGTTTCAAAATGTTGCACCTCTGATCACTGGTGTACTGGAGCTTATTTCCTAAACCATAGGGGTACTCGTGTTTATCTCTTTTTTTTGTTTGGACAATTACTTATAGTACTAAAACATAGTGAATTTTAAGTAGTTTCAAAGTTTTGCACTCATACAAACACCATCATACTTTTTCAATAATAAAATGTATATTTTCACTAATAATTTAGCCATCTCACATTACTTTTATTCATCATCTTAGAAATAAAATTGGAAAAGTCAATCCTAAATATATATATATATATACTTAATTTCTTTTATTTGTTAAAATAGAAAGTATTTTAAGGAATGGAAGGGAGTAGGAACCTGACGAGGACAATTGTGGTGGCGGGGACAATAGTTCTGGTCGATGAGAATGGGGTTTAGGACGTTGACCATGGTCAAATCCTTGAAAACCACACTTTTCACAAACCCATTGCTGGGTTTGCCCCAAGCTTTGATCCTCACCCCGTTTTGTGTGCCCTTCAACGTCCCTCCCTCCAATGTTACGTTCTCCACTCCCTCCTCTCTTTTATCTCTTCCCAAACTCCCAATGCTGCACGTACGTGCATTTATCATCTTAGTGGCTGAATGAACGAACCTAGACATACGCTATGTCTACATTCATTCTTAGAGTAAATACTACTCCATAAGAAAATACCTGATGCCGTGACCGGGGCCGCAAGTCAAGTTTTGCATCGACAAGTTGGCGGTGCCGGGGCCGATGGAGACGCAGTCGTCTCCGGTGGCGATGGCGGAGTGCCGGAGGGTGACGGCGGAGGAAAACTGGACGTGGATGCCGTCGGTGTTGGGACTGTCGGCGGGGGCGGCGATTTGGATGTGTTGAAGCGTCACGTTATGGCACCCGTTGATGACCACGTGAAACATTTGACTGTTTTGGGATGTCACGCCTGACACTAGTATGTTCTTCGCCTTTGTAAACGACAGATTCTGCATGCATCCCGCCCACCAATCAAGTTTCTTTCCATCCATTCCTCAATTTTACTTCCCCATCCAAAAATAAAATTCTGATTTCACTAAATTAAAATATTTTTAGACTATAATACTCTATCCGTCTATAAATTTTCTTCTTATTTGACTGTTCACAGCTCTCAATTTAATACTTTGATCATTAATATCTCTATTTATATATGAATATATATCATAGAGAGTATTATCTAAAAATTATATTTCAAAATTCATCTATTTGTATGAAATATGTATGATAATTCAATATTTTCCATAACTTGTGGTCAAAGTTTAACAAGAGTGATCAAAGTCAAATTGTAAACAAATTTTTAAGATTGAGAGAGTAATGATAATAGTATTAATTATAGTAGTATGGAGTATTTATTTATTTGTCAGCTTTTATTATTCAATTGATTACTACTTGTGTTAGAATGATTTCTTTATTTCTTAGTCTTAGAAAGATGTTCTCACTATGACTTTGATACGGCAGTATCAAGTTGGGAAGCCCTTTGAGTGACTTCTAACTCCAAGGGAAAAAGAAGAGAAGGAGGAAAGAGTTTTGGAAGAAGAAAAGAAAGAAACGTACGGGAAGAGGAAGTGGGCAAGCTAAAGGGTTTTAATTCATTCCTCTCCAAAAACAAAGAGATACATCCCCTTTTTATAGCATAAAAACCCCTAACCTAAAATACTACATTTTCTATCCTGACGGTTCAAGAAAAAGCGACGTGGTAAAGAACCGTAAAGAAACCCTCGAAGGAGCTTATATTTTGCTCACCTAATAAAATCTAAAATACATTAAATAAAATAAACTAGTGTAACTGAAACTCTTTTTGCCAAGCCGGCGCCCGTCGTAGACGCGTACTCCGACGTAAACTTTCAACGGGCGACCTAGAAGTAGATTCATAATCTTGAGATGGAACCGTAACACTCCCCCGCCCTTCAAGAGACACCTTGTCCTCAAGGTGTAGCTCAGGAAAATGTTGACGAATAGCAGCCGCAGGTTCCCAAGTAGCATCATCAAGGGTACCATCACTCCAACTTACTAGAAATTGTTCTTCAGAAGAACCATTACGTAACACACGACGCACAGCATGAATAGCGACGGGCACAGAAGGGGGTCTGCCATCAACGAAATCATCAGGTAAGGGCAATGGCTGGACCGTGGCCGTCGAACCCCGGAAAGGCCGTAAAACTGAAACATGAAACACCGGATGTATTCTTGAAGATGGTGGCAGCCGCAAACGGTAGGCCACCGGACCAATACGCTCCAAAATTTCATAGGGCCCGTAAAATTTTAACGACAATTTATGGGACGAGCGACGAACCACCGAATGCTGACGGTAGGGTTGTAGGCGTAACAACACCAAATCCCCCACCTGGAACTCCACATCCCGGCGTTTAGCATCAACCAGCGACTTCATTCGGGCCTGGGCATCCAACAAATTCTGCCGAAGACGCCGAAGAAGTTCATCCCGCTCACTAAGAATCTCATCAACGGATGGCGCCCGACTCGTGCCTGGACGGTAAGGTACCAAATCTGGCGGTGGACGACCATATAGGGCCTGGAATGGTGTCATGCGTAACGCCGAATGGTAACTGGTATTCATGCAATATTCAGCCCAAGGAAGCAACACCGTCCAACGCTTCGGCCGTGCATGAGTAAAAGAACGTAAGTATTGTTCCAAAGTGCGATTCATTACCTCCGTCTGGCCGTCGGTTTGGGGGTGAAACGCGGTACTATGTTTCAACGAAGTACCACTTAATTTATGCAATTCACGCCAAAATGTGCTAATGAAAACTTTATCACGGTCGGAGACAATCGTTTTTGGAATCCCATGAAGTTTAACAACAATATCCGTAAATAAAAAAGCTGTACGATGAGCATCATAATCCGCGGGTAGGGAACCAAAATGAACAAATTTTGTCAACCGGTCGACAACCACCAAAATTACCGAGAATCCCCTTGACGTCGGTAAACCTGTGACAAAGTCCATACTAATATCTTCCCAAACTTGTTGTGGTACAGGTAAGGGTTGGAGTAAACCCGCTGGAGGAAGCGTCGAAACTTTGGCCTTCTGACAGACTTCACATTGGCGAATATAGGCACGCACATCCCTTCTCATGTTCGGCCAGTAGAAAGTGGCAGCAAGACGGTGAAAAGTACGATGAACCCCGGTGTGGCCTGCCGATGGGGAAGCATGATATTCATGAAGCAAGTCATGGCGGATATCAGAAGCTGCACCGATGCACATCCTTGTATTATAAAAAACCATCCCATCGGATATTGAAAACGGCGCGGGCAGAGCCCCTTGGCGATGTA